ATTGAGATGTAGACTGATATTTTCTAACCCTCTGGCCACTGCTGAGGTTTCCAAACTTGCCGACATATTGAGTGTAGCACCTTAACAGCATCAGCTTTTAAGATTTTAAATAGTTCAACTGGAATGCCATCACCTCCACTGGCCTTGTTGTTAGCCAGGCTTTCTAAGGCCCACTTGACTTCACTCTCCAGGATGTCTGGCTCAAGGTCAGCAGCCACACTATCTGGGTTGTCCAGGACATCCAAATCTTTCTGGTATAATTCCTCTGTGTATTCTTGCCACCTCTTGATGACTTCTGCTTCTGTAAGGTCCCTCCCATTTTTCTCCTTTATCATGTCCATCGTTGCACAAAATGTTCCTCTAATATCTCCAATTTTCTTGAATAGATCTCTGGTTTTTCCCTTCCTATTTTTCCCCTCTATATCTTTGCACTATTTAAAAGTAGTTTAAAACACATTAAAATGTGTATAAAATTGTAACAGTGTCCAGCACAGGAAAGTAACCATCGCTGCATTTGTTGTTAACAGCTTGCCTGAAAAAAGGAGGTTTCTGCCCCAGGACAGAAGGACAAGAGGCTGGGGGGAGGGGAGGGGGGACGGACAACCTAGCCTCCTAGGGGCAGGCATTCCACAACCTGGCAGCAGCCAGAGAGGCCTTCTCTCCTATTTCCAACATATCTGCCTGTGAAAGCACTGAGACTGAGAGAAAGGCCTCCCCTGAAGACCTTAGGAGAGAAGAGGCTCATACTAAGAGACAACAAGGTCCTTCAGAAAGCCCGGACCCTGGCTTTATATGTTGTAAGCAGCACTCTGAATTGGGCCTGGAACTGGACTGGCAGCTAGTGAAGCTGCTATAACAAGGGAGTAATATGCTCTCTATAACTAGCCTAAAATATCAGCAAAATGTCCTCAACCCGTGCTGAAATCAGACTTGTTAACCTAGAAGAAAGATTTCTAGCAGTTTTAAATAGAAGGAATGAATCTTTGGGTACTGTTTGCCCTTCAGCTTCACTTGTAGCTGTGCCTATTCACTGACACTTTTTCTGGGTTTGGCCAAAGCTGTTGCTGGCAGGTATAACATACTGTTTGGGATCTAGTATTTTTACTATGAAGTCCCCTGAAACTCAAAGGGGGCGGGACATGCTTGTGAAAATGTTATTAAAAGCAAATTTAGAGTCACACTTACCATGCCATTAGCAGCAACTAGAGCGACAATCATGGAGCAAAGGTAGACTTCCATCTTCCTCCCCACTCCTTTTGGGGACGGCACCCCCATGCTTGTAACTGTCCTGGATCAACTGGTCTTCCACTGCTTGAAAGCCTTAAGCTGGAAACTGAATTAATATTGGCCTTAAGAAATACCCTTCATTTTAGAATATGTTTAACTTTTAAAGTAATCAATGTGTTGGCCAATGTTAATTATTAACATGTTCGTGTATTGAAGGAAATGCTGGTTTCAGAGATTTAGGGGAGGAAAAAAAAGCCAAATACACTTACAATACCAATCTGGGAAGGATCCCTATGGAAAATACTGTGGCCTATTTATAAGTAAAGATGTATATGGCTGAACTGTTTGTTGCTAACAGTACGCCTACAAATAAATATGCAGGTACTGTAGCCATTAAAGATTTTGGTCAGTTCCAGTTTGGGTTGATAAATATTTGCTCAGTTTCCATTCCTCTCTCCACATCCTCCCCTTCCTGAAAATAAACAGCCATCTCACTTTCTACTATGCTGAAATATGAGAACTGTTTTCTAAGGAATCCATTTTGGTATTTAGATCTAAGAATATTGAATAGGATTCATTAAAAATATGGGAGCAATCTGGCTCACATTATCATCATTCATATGGACAGAAGAAAAAATGATAACAGGGTGGATTTCTACTATTTATGTGTTGTAAAGATAATTACGAAATTTTCCCCATTTAAATTTCTTAGTGAATTTGGAGAGTCTGAATGAGCTCGTGTGCCATGTATATGGGTTGCATCAATTATAAAACTCAGTTCCCTGTGACAGAAATGAAGTTTGACAAATTTCAGAAAAAAATTGGTGCCGGATGTTTCTGCGGGGTGTCAAAGAACAGTAGATCTGAAAGCCAGTATTTCATGTGCTCATTTTTCCCAATGCGCTGACTGGTGAGTATACCTTTCAACTGTCTATTCAAATGAAGGGAGAGCGATTCACTAGTCCAATACCCTCCAGATATCAGAGTGACCTGAGACTCTCCACTGCCCTCAGACCTTTAGATTCCTCATTATTGGCTATGGTGGGAATTATGGTCCAAATGTGTGCAGGGCTTCTTTTATACCTTCTTTATCAGTCTCTGCATATACAACATGCTGCACTGTTTTCTGTGTGTTCTGAATTCTGATTTAGAAAGAATCTTAAGAGCCCAGGAGTTTGGCAGCAGCACCCTGGGTAGGAACCTTCCAGCAGAATGTCAACAGGCAAATTACCCTCCTTTCTGGCAGCCTGGGAAAGGGAGCAAAGTACAAAGTAATGTCACTGTGTTTCACCCCCACCCCACCCTCTTCTTTGATTGCAGAAGCCCACTGCATCTGGTAGCTTATCTGGAGTGCTTTCAATATAAAGCAAATGTAGAGTATGGACAATCATCTCCATAAGGTCAGTGCTTGTCAGGAACAAATATTCAGCTGACCTGGGAGCTGTAATGTGAACTGGCATGTATGAGGGACAAAATCAAGGATTTTACTTCATTTGAAACTGGGAGACAGTATGGGTTAATGTGAAAATCAGCAACTGTCAGTTATGATGGTAGCACTGGAAACTCATCATAACTCACAGTAAAATCCTGTGTAGGCATTCAGCTAGACTGAGAGACAACAGAGATGCTGTCATAGTTCTTCTATATTGCATTTGTTTCCTGGCTGCTTTGGGTTAATTTGCAGAATGTCTAATCTGGTGGTAGACTTGATAATATTGGAAAAACACACTTTGGAGAATATATTTGCTTCTTCTGTCCAATAACAATGAACTATTTCATGTTGTTCCTTTTGTAAAAATTACATCTTCAAGAAATAATGTGTTAATAGCTTATATTAGCAGATACAAAAGCATGTTTTACAATACAGTCTAATTTCTTAGTATTGTTGTGAAAGATAATTTGTTCTTTGTTAAGTTAAACTGAATTCCTGTTCTACATGCACCAAGAGATTAAGTCTGAACCATAATTTCACAAATAATTTATTATATCAAACAGAACAAAACTGGTATTTTTTTAAAAATGGAATTACTGAAACTATCATAATTTTTGGAGAAACAAATAGCAGTTTGAAGAGTGAACTGCAGTTTAAAACTGTGTTTATTTCCAAATTTTGTACAACCTAAGAATAAGCATTCAAATTGAGTTTCAACAGTTAAAATATCTGAAGTGCAATAATTCTGTCATTGACTACATTAGTACATAATGATAATCTAGAACAATTGGCAAGGAGTGGCATGCTGATTCTTCAACTAATTCGCTTCACTTTTGTGGAAGCTGAGGTTGAGCAATTTGTTTCATCATTTAGGAGCACCTTAGTGCTGGATGTGTGTGATTGTCACAGCAACAGCTTTTCTTATATTTCATAGTTTACAATGTAGCTTGCTTTATTTTGTGATCTGAAACTGCCTGAATTGCTCCTCTCGTTTCATCACAAATGACAAACTGTCTGTAAGGCATGATTTGGCCTCCAGGTCAAAACAAACCAGAAATGGAATGCTTTGCATGACATCCAGACCTGGGTTGCCTTTTATTGTTCTCAAACAAGACCACCCGTCTTTTTACCCCTGGATTATGAGCTTGAATTGTTTGCATGCAATAAACCAGGAGCTCAGCTTTGCAACATGCAACTGTTTCTATTTCTGTTTTGTTTTACTTAGTTGCATGAGAGGAAAGTGAAGCAATCAAAAGCTTTTTGTTTGTTCACAATAAACCATAACAAGTCAGCAATTTTTGTTTTTGTTTTTTAAAATGTGTGCAAAGACACAAAAATGGTCCCTTTCTTCTGTTTGTGCGTGATGACATAATTCTTTTGGGCTCACCAGATTCACTGATAAAAGGATTTCTATTGTTATTTGCTTTTGGGGAAAATTCTCATTGGTACCAAAGCAATAAAGCAAGCAAGCAAGCAAACAAACCAAAACCACATAGGCCAGATTAGATGATGATCATTAACACATCATTTGAAGCAGAGCTCTCTTAGGAGGAAAAGACTTTACTCTGATATGAGGTTGCTTCAATCCACATTTTTAAAAAACCAGCTGGCTCTTGCTTTGCAATTGGTCTGCTGAGAGACAGCGTGGCTTCATTTGCATGTCAGAAGTGTCAGGCACATAGCTCTGTAAAATGTGCATGCCTGGTGGGATAAGAAGCTGCTGGCTAGTTCAGTGGTTTAGGTATCTGGCTGCAGACCAAGAGGTTGGGTGTTTGATTTCCCATGGTGCCTCCACAACAGAGGTTAGAGTTGATAATCCATAGGGCCTCTTCCATCTCTGCAGTTCTCTGCAGATGATTAACTATGTAAGGGGAGGAAATAAACATTTATTTTAACAAGTGATACAGTAGCGAGAAAAAGGAAGTACACCCTCTTTTGAATTCTATGATTTTATGTATCAGGACATAATAAAAATCATCTGGTCCTTAGCAGGTCTGAAAATTATGCAAATACACCCTCAGATAAACAACGAATGGCATATTACATGTGTCATGATTTACAGTATTTAACAAAAATAAAGCCAAAATGGGGAAACTTCAAATTTGGCTGAACTACTTACTTACAGAGCTCCTGGGATCAGGGACCCTGGCAGGCCTTCTCTTTCATACACGCTTGAGGTAGCCAAAGGTAGTGAGGACTCAAAGAAATGGATAAAACAGCTCGTGGCCATGGTTTTTTAAAACAACCAAGGCCTTTTTATTTATTTATTTATTATTATTATTTTGCATTCTGGCTGCAGCAGTAACATAGATTAGGGGAACAGATGAAGGAGAACAAGAATGGAATTTCATCTGATACAAAAAAAAGCTGTCGGATCAGAAGCATCAAGTATAATTCAACAGTCTGATACTTTAAAGTGACAGGCAATATTAACTTTAGCATTACTGTATTCAAAGGGCTTACAAACGACAAGAATGGTCTTACACTATCTGCTAATGCATGTTCTTTCCCCCCCAAAAATGTCCAGGTTTGTCTTCTAAAAATATTTGATTGTAATTTAAAAGGCCAGAAAAAGCAGGCTTTCTAATGAATTAGACTAATTGTAAAATGTTTGCAGCTATGTTGGTCCATTAAAATACAAATTAGAAACATCAACAAGCTCTTAGATTTATTAAAACCTACCCAAATATTACAAAATATTCAGAAAGCTTTGTAGGATTCCTCTTCAGGCTGTTAAACAAAAGTAGAAAAAAGGCGGTTGTGGTTAAAAGTATTACTATAGGCCATGGTATAACTTCAAAAATGGAAGAAGTGTCATTTTCAGAATTAAGGAGAAACTTATCTCTTAGGGTGTGCCGTGTGTATGAGAAAAGTCTGCATTACAGGTCTCTGTTAGGGCTCCCAAAACTATACTTGGGCCCTGGCAGCTTGAAAAAAACTGCTTTAGAAGGGGCAAGTGATGTTTGCTCTGTTGTTGTAGCCAGAAAGGTTTTATGTAGTATGTTCATATCCAGATCTCCAATCATGCAAAAATGATACTGGCAAATGAAGTATTTCTCAGTTTTCTAAAAAAATTAATTGTCCCCATGGATTATCTCATGTGCTACCAAACGTTCCTTACCAGGGAAAATTTTTAAGTTCATGTTTATAATCTAGGGGAATTAAGCTGCATCTCTTATACCTTCATGTGTCATGTGCACCAATCCTTACAGCATTCTGGATGGAGCAAATGTTTGGACTCATGCAGAGGAAATCTTCAGACAAATGTTGCCTTACATCGGTTCTCTTCATATTTATTCTTTTCATTGTTAACATCAATAAGAAATGGAAGGTCCGATGTTCTGTAAACTCCTGTTCGCAACCTTCCCTGGCAAGATTTCAGCTCTGAGATGCATTCTTCAAAACTTAGATTCCCCTCTGATTCAGGGCAAGACCATTCCAAATCATCTTCTGTTGCTGCTCTATCCACATCAATTATGGGATTTATAGGGAGCTCATTTCTGACAGTTTTCTTCTTAACTCCGTCAGGGTTAAAGTCGCTGTTATTATTTTTAGAGCTTTGTTCATAACGGTTTCCACCATTTACTTGAACATTGGTTTTCTGTCTCTGGATTGCACCTAGAAGGGAAAGGAAAAGCCAGAGGCAAGGGGAAATAACCTTGTGTCAGTTTCCACAAATGCAACTCTACAATCAGGTTCAATTAGCTTGTGGGACAAACAGTGATTTAATATATATAATTAATTCTTTAGTACTATCATTGCTGTTTTAATTATTGTGAAGATTTCCATTCCTTTTTGTTTGTTTTGTTGCTGGCTGTTATCTACATATAGGTAAGTTAGCTTATGGCCTGATAGAATTAATGGATTGGTTGATAGGTGAGTGGTAGTTAGAGCAATTATGTCAGTTTGGTGGAAGGGTAAGAATAAGTCTCCACAGAACTCTGCTGTGATTGGCTGATTACCCCTCCCATACTGAAGAGGAAAGAGAATATAAAATCTAATTCTTAAGAAAAACTCTGGTTTATGAATGCAGGATATTTTGCTTCTGTAACTATGATTTGAAATGGCCTGATATTGATGCTTAATGTTGTGCACGGATTGCCAAGCAGGAAAAAGGATGCCAAGCTTTACATAGCAAAGGGCAGCCTGAATGTTGACAACACCAATGGCGGCAGTCAAGATGGTCTGCAGCAATGGTCCCCAACCTTGGACCTCCAGATGTTCTTGGACTACAACTCCCAGAAGCCTTCACCACCACCTCTGCTTGCCAGGATTTCTGGGAGTTGAAGTTGAAGAACATCTGGAGGCCCAAGGTTAGAGACCACTGGTCTATAGGATACCCTCTTAGTGCTCACTACCAGTCATAAAGTGATACCAAGCAAGGAAATATCTTTGTTAAGCCTATGCACTTTAGTTAAGATACAGGATTTTAACTTTGTTAGGATTTAGAATAGGATTTATAGTAGGATATGGAAAAGAGGGGATATAAGTTGTGATGAATGGAAACTGTGATGAGTAAAGTGTGACTGAGTGAGATGAATAAAGAGAAAGAGTGGGAATTTGCAAAGCTGGTAAAAATATAGAATTTATCTTAAGTATATATAAAGCCTGCATGAAATCGCTCCAACTTTTTTCTATTGTGGTTTAGCTTTTATTGTTGCAGAGCCAGAGGTTGGGAGTTCGATTCCCTACTGTGCTTCCTTAACAGGGGCTGGACCCAGTGATCCATAGGATCCTTGCCAGCTGTGCAGTTCTAAGATGACAATGATGATAATTGTTGTTGTTTAAAGGGTTCTATTTTGGAAGCTGGTGGTGGCAAAATCACTGAAGGGTTAGAGTCCTTTCACCCTTTTTGTGTGCATTCACAGAAGACCACGATGAAGAACAAGCACTTAAGGCTTGAGATCATGGCTAAGAGGTCATATAGCTGATTTTGCCCTGCATTGTACATATTTTGAATGTTCACTTGGATATTTATTTATTTATTTATTTAT